ATGGGCATAATATATGGAAAAACATTCTATTCCTACAGCCAAACAGCAATAGCATGTGTAGTGATTATTCAATTTGGGCACAGTGATTAAGAACATGGGCTCTCAAGTCAGAATCTTTGGATTGAATCCCATTTTTGCTCCTTCTTAGTCATGTGACTTTGACAAAATGAAGATAATAATACCAAAGGATTGATTTGAAGATTAAATGAAATAATGCCTGCATAGTGCATAGTGTAGCACATGGCATATAAGTCATTACCCAGTGAATATTAGCCATTAATCCTCATCATTTTGTTCCTCTCTTTGTATCAGTAACCAGTTATACAGCCATGTCATTACTCATTAACAGTAAGACATGTTATCATCAATGTTATGAAGATACTCATTAAGTTCCTAAATGTACTTGATATTGCTCTTGATACTGAGCATGTTTTAAGAGTTAAGTTTAAAAAAATGTTAGAATATGCAAACTTTTTAGGCCAGTTTCATCTATTCCTTTGCCATTTTACAAATAAGTGATTCTCAATCAAAACCTTATAGCTTTATTGTGTAAGAATAGATCCCAATATTTAACCCCACTTTGCTAATCAAGAGTTAATTTTGGAACAAGAATCATATGATTATGATATCAAAAATTGTCAGCATGAAGGAGAATGCTTCATTGCTTTTATCTAATTTATCACTGTTATTCAGATGCAAATGGCTTTCAGTTACCATGTCTCAAACCATGATGCTAAAGGAACATTTTTTCTTTAATTAAGATGTTCCACATTTACTCATTCACTCTCTAGCTCTTAAAAATCATTTTCTGAACAGAAGAAGCTGGACAGACCCTTACTATTTTTACTGTATTTGAGAAACATTTGTTCCTTAAGTGGGCATAATTCATCTCTCAGTATTTGTAAGATTCAGAAATCTCTTTTTAAATACTGGGTTAGAAGAAGATACCATCATTGAGATAACTGGAGACTTCAGCAGGGAAAAAAACTGGTCAGTTATAACAGCACAATACATTGGCTAAAAAAAAAAAAAAAAATTCAAACTGGCCCCACCCAAATCTACGTAACCAATCCTGTAATTTAACATACAATATTTGTGTTAATTAAATTCAAAACCACTACAATGTGAACTCAGATATCAGGTTTTCTTTTTTTCTTCATCAAAACCAAAATTATTTTAAAGAATACTAATATAAATGATAATTTATTAGTAGTTGATTACATCCTTATTGGGTAGTGGAAAAAAAATACACCTCACTAAGTCCAGTCCCCTTGTTTTCAACCATAAAATAGGAATCGTACATACACACAGTGTTGGATCATGTAAGTGAATTTAATTTATGTTAGCCCTGTAAAATTGTATGATCCTATCTGGCTGATTTTAAAAGTACCAATTATTTGGTGGACTGGAAAAATTATTGAACCAGTCTTTCTGAATTCCGGATACCAGTCTCAGCTGTCCCAGAAAACTGATAGAACATACTCTTGGGTAAGATATTTTTCCCCTCTAAGACTTTTACAAAATATGGACTTTAGCTGATTTCCAGTACTAAAATTTCTATTTTTCTAGTTATAAAAAGCAAAGATGTATATATTTTCTAGTTATTCCATTCCTTTCTAATAACATGTACTGGGCAAACACTATGAAATATAATTTTTAAAATCTAAACACAGCTTGCAAACATATTAACAAGAATATCATTGTTTGCAAAGAAATTAATTTCCACTTAGCAGTAAGTACAGTAGCCAAAAGTGTAAACTTAAATAGATGAGTAGCATAAAATCAACCATATTTTGGCATAATGTTATCAGATTATATCAAAATCACATAGAAATACACTCTTAAAAGATTACTATACTAGTTTGTAGATTAAAAATACATATCTCAAAGAATAACACTAAGACTCAGGATTCCATATTTCCTGATTTATTATGCTTTATAGAGCATTTCAACATTAATTGCGTACCTCTTCCAAGTAATTAATTCTTTCATATCATTAACAGTAGAGCTTGATACTGTAATTTGCTTATCCTAGCTGCTTTACAATTAATCTACATCAATTTCATTTATTTTTAAGTTTTAAAACACCAGGCTAAGTTGGCTTAATTCCACACTTGATGAATAAAAGAATTTACAATTCCCTACAACTGGTTATTTAAGAAAAATAATGCAACAACCATTTACTCTGAGCTTTATAGTGAAGGGCCAGTGAAATGAAAGACATAAGACTGACAAGGCAAAACTGACATCATCTGGAACACGGTGGTAATCGTTGACAACAATAGTAACTGGAATTTGTTAACCCTCCCTCTACAACTTACAATGCACTTTTAACTCATTAATTAGAACACTGATTTAAAACTTAGGAGCATAATGTTATTCTTAGAGCTAGAGGTGGAGGGTGAATTCAACATGGTCTCTGTCCCCAAGGGGCTTTCAGTCTAGTGGTAAAGATATGCACACATGTGGCCCTACAGCAATGTTGACTGCCACACATGCAATAATGGAAGCACAAAGAGAAGGATGGAAAAGTGAAAGGTTCTGGCCACAATGATTTGAAAAGATTTCATAGAAGAGGGAACATTTAACCTGGTCCCTGAAGCAAAGAAGGATTTCAAATGTTTAAAGAAGGGGGAGGGGGGGTGATGGAGGAGTATTCCATACATCTCTGTGCTGGCAGTGTATTGAATTTTCACAGATAAGAAAAAATAGAGACATTAACATGATCTGACCAAGGTGAGAACAAGAGAAAGAATCAGAGCCACTCCTTGAACTTTTCACTCCTGGGTCAAATGGTTCCTGCTCTATCAAATTGCTTCCTTCCTGAGGTAAGACAAGGTTTCTCTGTCTTCACAACCATCTCCACCCTCCATTTATTCCCTTATGTTGCCACACCCTTTGCAGGACCTTGCTAGGATGTCCAGAGAAAAACACAGAGACAGCCACGTCTTCATAAAACACATTCCATTTCAGCTTGTGTCTCAAAACAAAATGAACACATCTAGGTCTATTTGGGGGCACCCTTTCCTCACCATTCTCCAACATTTCAAAGGAAAGGGAACTGTGCTTTCGCCACATGGCAGCCTCAATAAAATTGTGCTCCATTCCTCTAAACCTTCCGTTTTTCTCTTTCAGTTTTGTCAAGTGTTCCCAATTCCAAGAAATCGTAATTCAGAACATGGGGGAGGTTGAAGCGTTTTGGCGCAGGAGGTCGTGCAGATGTTATTCCTTAAGGAAGATGATCATGATTGCCTATGAGACTAATGGCTGTGAGTCGGCTAGGAGCCAAAAGTTCTCTTACAGCAGAATGTATAAACCATTCTCCTACTGAAAGAAGGCCCCCAGTAGGATAATATATTATTACACATGATTCAAATTACAGGATCTGCAGCAGGGGAGCTCATGACTGATTCAGGACAGTCGCTCCCTGAATGTTGATGATGGGATGATGGAATGCCTCATGAATTAAAAGGGCCGTGGTTTAGTGTCTAAATCCTTCACATGCTTTAAAAAGTGTCTCTGCCTATCATGGTACTCTTTAAGCTTCTTAAACGAATCATGCACTGTTATGAAACCCTTGTCGATGTTTTTAAAATTCCATGTCTCTGAATAATTATATTCAAAATATTCTTTGAAAAATAAGACAATGAAACTACCTTCTCTGCTAGAAAACTGTATCCCTTTAATGCCAATATGCAATAAAGATACGGCTTAAGAGAAATCACATTTAAGTGTGACCCAGTTTCAGCTCTTTGGGATTCTCTAAAGCAACCTGAAAATCTTCACATGTCATATGTTCCAGCCTTTTTAAGTTATCTATAGAACAAATGAGTTTATCTCTGACAAACTAAATACAAATGTACAAGACAAAATTGTGTTTCCAAAGGTTTTCTGATGATTATATGAACTCATTGCTGAATATTATTTCACTTGGTCTATTTTGGTTATATAACAAAGCAATACATTTGCTAAAGGTATTACACTGGGAATGGAGATCAAGCATTTTTATAGAAACACTAAGGCAGATGTTACATATTACACATTCTGAAAAACAAACTGCTGCGATATATTCTGAAATAATATGTGAACTGGTCCCTTAACTTCTTTTCAAACTGGTTCTTGCATTCAGTTTTTCTAGTAAATGGATGCAAATCAGGTGCATTGTGCTAAGATGGGAAGAGAGAGATTTGTCCAGAAATGACCTCAGTTCTATTCATTAATAAAATGACACATTGGCTGAGAGCAGTGAAGAATAAAATACAACAAGAGTTGAACTTTCCTCCCTGGAACAGATGCACATAAGCACTTTTTGGAAAAAACACTATATGTAAAAATGGCCACTGCAGCATAAAACATGGAAACATTAAAGGAAGCTCTAAGATGCAGATTGCTTGGAAAAATTGCAACTTCCATGGCAATGCACCCTCTTATTCTCCATTACCTTGCACAATTCTGAATCCCAACTTGCCGAAAGCATGCTATTCTTAAGGGGGGAGTGGGGTTCAGATACAATAAGCGAAGGTTTAATTTTTTCTAAGGTTTTTTAGAAGAAGGTAATATTGCAAGGTCAAAACAAAATAGAATTGTACCCAGAATCACTTTCAGTGACAGCAGACACCAATGGGGGGAAAAAAACGTGGAGGCTGTCAGAGAGAATACAGCCACATTTTTGCATAGCGGTTTAAATTATGCCAGCAGAATAATTAATGGAAGGACCTAATATGGGGAGGGGGGTAACAGGAAAGGAGGGAGGCTATGTTAAACAAAGTTCATTACTGCATGATGTAAATGAGTTTCTCACCAGTGATGTCACTGATTGGCTGAGCTGCAAAGCTGGCTTCGAGCATGGCCGGATTGGCTGCTAGCTCTTCTGGTGCCTGCCTGCTTGGGCAGCGGTTGAACCAGATACTTTCTGTCTCTCTTGTTGTCGTTTGAAGCAAATCTTGTTCAGCCCAGCTGTGTCTCCATAGTAGTGGCACCCTAAGAGAGTCTCCCTCCTGCTTCCCACAGCCCGTGTGAGGCGGTCGCCGCTGTGAAATACCAGCACTTGGCACCAAGCCCAGACAGCGTTCTCAGATCCATCTATAACACACACATACAAAAAGAAAAATAAAAAAAAAAAAGCAGTTCTTTCATCTGAATTGCATCCTAAGGAGGATTAAAAGGCTTCTATTGCTACTGATTTGTGTCCTTTCAATTTGATGGCTAAAACAGGTTTTGAAATACAGTATCCTCTCATCTGCAGTAGAACACCATTGGTTCAAATTAGTTTAAAAAGATAGGGGGAACCCCCCTCTCCCATGTTTACCTTGATTACAGAAAAATAATTCTTCATTTCCCTCCTAAGCACCGTAACTGATGTTTTTGGTCCTCTCCCAGAATTTTAAACTCTCATCAGATTTCTAATTATATCCGAGTCATTATTTTCAGGTTAAGACAAGGGATCTTAATTAGCATTCTGTTTTAGCTATGCGAAATGAGACAGGGCATGAAACAGAAACGATCTATGGAGAGGCAGAGAGAAAGAGAAAGAAAAAAAATCTGTGCAGCTTTTACAGTTGAGCTGACATCCCCACCTTCCCCACTCTCCCTCCACCCCCCTTGCAAAAAAGAATGCAGTCATATGAACTTTACCAGACAATGGAGTACCTACAGGCTCTCCCCTAGACAAGTCCTTTATAACCAGCCAGTGCTATGTGCTGCAGACAGTGGCCAATCGGCAGCCTCCTTTCTGCAGCAGGGACACAATAGGTGCATTGGCCACACTGTCCTCCTAGCCCCTGACAGCAGTTCAGGTTCATTTATTGTACACTGGAAGGCACATATGTCTTTAATATTCACTGTGAAATTATCAGTGAGGCTGTCTTTATTTCGCCATAATTACATCAACCTAATTACCGCGCCTGAGCTGCAATAGCACTGTTTGCACGGAGTGGCGCATGGGCATGCAAGCCGTAAAAATATGCATGAACATGCTTGCTTATTTCAGTAATAAAATCCCCCAATTATTTCTTTCCCAGAGCTTAATGCTTCCCCCAGAACACTCTAGTGGATATAGTCATCACTTCTTCCTTTCAGAAGAAAAAAAGTGTGCATATACATTCATGTGTGTGTATGTGTATATGCATATGCATATAATTTAAACACTGTCTTAGCCATTTATTGGGGTGAGGTTATGGGAGTGGAACCTAGTCAGCAAATAAAAGGTTATTGAGCATCTAAGGCATTTTCCCCCTTATCACTAGGCATTAGAGTGAAATAATAAGTGTATCTGCACGCATCACCACAGCTGTGCCTAGATGCCGATTTATCTGGAGTCCAACTGTCTTGAGCATCTGCATATGTCTCATTTATGAATTTCCATGTTACATAATTACAGCATTTTTGGCAACACTGACTCAAATGCTTGAAAAATTAAATCTTTGCTTTTCGTGTATTAGTCGAACAGAGATGGGTACAGTCTGAAGTGGGAACCGCCTGCTGATTTTTTTAATATATAATGCATGTTGCATTTACATATTCATGAACAGAATAGCTGTTATGACCGCTGATTCTGCAGCAGGAGATGAAAAGGCAGGATTCAGCATACAGAGTGTATTAATTTCTAGGGGAAGAACGGCAGCATATGATGACCAGGAAGAGAAGATGCTTGGGGTTTCATTTGGGGGTTACCTCATTGTATAATAAAGGATCTGGGTAGACAACCTATCAAACAATGTGTAAATATAATGAACCTAGAAAGTAAAACCAATTTGCATTGTTCATGGTCATTCAGCCACACAGTAAAGAAATAAGCATTTTGAAATGGAGATTTCTGGCTTGAGTGTTTGCAAGTAAATAAAGTTGCATTTTGTTTTCTGCCTACTAATTTTAATAGAATATTATTAAAATGATGTGTGCTCAGCAACTCTGTATTTTCTCATTATTTTATAATTTACATATTTCTTGTTCCATACCAAAAAGCTAAGCTTTAAGCATTGATTATAGTCTAGGATGGAATTTTACCAATTTTTACCTATTTTTATTGATATATTTTTATTTTTAGCTCATGATTCTCTAATTAGGAATGGAATTCATAATTACAGTGGGTATATTAGGAGGAACAGTAACTCATCTATATCCATATAGATACATGTATAATAATTCACCCACATTAGAAAGAATCCCAATAATGTTATTATTATCAATTTATAATTTATCATCCCCTTATTATTAATGTTTGCAAGATTTGTATTATAAAATGTATTCATGCTGACTTTGCATTTTATAAGGTTTTTTGTTTTTTTTTTAAAGTACAGCTCTTCTATCTACACTTTCCCAAAATCAAGTTTTGGTAGGAGGGACAAGTGAGGCAAATTCCTAACTAGACCAGTAAGAGATCACAAGGCTCGATTATAAAAAACACAAACAATATAAGAAAATGCAACATCTATAATTCTGAATTGCTGCATACATTGAAATCAAAACACCTAAAATCAAAGATGTAATTTGATTACTTGATATATAAAGTAAGCTGCTTCTTCTCTAAGTGATTGCAAAAAAACTTAAGAAGCTACTTGCCGCACCTTGTTGATGGTTTTCATATCAAAAGCCATTTTTTCTAAATCTTCAAGTAAATCATGAAAATTTTACTGGTAATCAAATTAAAATATGTAAACCTCATCTACACCTCTCTCTCTTGTCCCCTTCTCCCTCCCTCCTTACCTCTCTCTCTCTCTCTCACACGCACACACACAAACGGAAATACACATATATAAAATCATGACTGTCCTTTTATTGTAAGAATTAGCAATTCTTCTACCTAGTTATCTCAATTTTTGATCTATCATTGCACAAAAAAGCTTACGAAAATCAAAAAGGTAATACTTAATTGCTTGTTATCCATTTTGCTAAGTAAAAATCAAAACATAGGAGAAGCTCTCATAATATCACATACATTTAGATTCCACTAACACAGAATGCACTTGGAAATTCACTGTTATACAAAGGATTTTGATGAATATATTAATTTTATTAACAAGTTTAGTGGATAATCCATATCTGACCTCCTTAAATAAATAGGGATTTGCAAACAATGATCACTAGAAATAAAAGAGGCCTTTCTTAAGTACTACAATTCATTAAACCACGCAAGGCTTCCTACTCCCTATTATAACATTCTGTCGTGGTTTGAGTTACTAGATATATTTGAAGACAACGTTGCATTTTTTATAATATTTTAGTATTAGGCTTTACTATTCTCATACTTCAAATACAAAATGTAACTGTGAGATATTAACATACTACCCAAACCAAAGTAATTTTGCAATAAAATCTTATCTGGAATCATTGAATGAGAGAACTTAGACCTAAGCTGTATCTTAGAGATGGAATCTATTAATTTTAGACACGACAACTAAAGAAAATTAGTAACTAGTTAGTGTATTTCCACCCATCACACTGCCATCCTATATTAAAAATATGGTTCTGGGGCTTCCCTGGTGGCGCAGTGCTTGAGAGTCTGCCTGCCGATGCAGGGACACGGGTTCATGCCCCGGTCCGGGAGGATCCCACATGCCGCAGAGCGGCTGGGCCCGTGAGCCATGGTCGCTGAGCCTGCGCGTCCGGAGCCTGTGCTCCGCGACAGGAGAGGCCACAACAGTGAGAGGCCCGCGTACCGCAAAAAAAAAAAAAAAAAAAAAATATGGTTCTGACCTGCTGTCAGGATATTCTTAATTAGTTGAGTTTTACCAAAGATAAGGAATTTATGGTATCCTCCCATAAGATCAAAGCCATGCATTTATAAGATAACGAATGGAGAATATGATTGTTATCTGTGTTCCGACAATGGAATTAACTTCTTTATAAAGATCAAAAGCATAACCTTAGACTTATAATCACAATGATCTCACCAAGAGAGTCAACTCAGCACAAATTGGCTGTAAGAATGTGAAATAGCAGCCAATCACATTAACCTTATAAATAATAAAGGGCATTCTATATGCAGAGCCAACTTAGAGAGATGCAAAAATAATACATTAAAAAGTAACTTGTCAATCTCCTGATGTGACTCATTCTTTTTAAAAAATTAAGCCATTTTAATAAGTATGGAAAATATTCATAGTGTAATCAACGTCAAGAAACCACTGTTTATGTCTTTGTCTACACATGACAAGCATCCAGATGCCAAAACAAGATGCAGTTAACCATCAGAATAGTTCTAAATATCTGGCTGTTTTTGTGCCCATAAACTCACAACTTAAAATGTCAGTGTTTATATGCTGGATTCAAAATGAGTATTCTTGAAGTCTTTAATAATGATCATCTTTATGGGATATGAGAAACACCGGATTTTTAAAGGTGCCAATTTTGGATCACGCCGTGCATAAATCTGTTTCCAAATAATACTTTTTAGAGCTTAGTTATGATCTCGTTTATATTGACCTCAAAAATGTTAGCAGTGCATACCCTATGAAGAAAACACTTAATACCTCAGTTTTTAAAACTTGTTTCTCTTGCAACATTCCCATTTTTTTTTTAACATCTTTATTGGAGTATAATTGCTTTACAATGGTATGTTAGTTTCTGCTGTATAACAAAGTGAATCAGCTATACATATACATATATCCCCATATCCCCTCCCTCTTGCGTCTCCCTCCCACCCTCCCTATCCCACCCCTCTAGGTGGTCACAAAGCACTGAGCTGATCTCCCTGTGCTATGTGGCTGCTTCCCACTAGCTATCTATTTTACATTTGGGAGTGTATATATGTCCATGCCACTCTCTCCCTTCGTCCCAGCTTACCCTTCCGCTTCCCCGCGTCCTCAAGCCCATTCTCAACATCTGTGTCTTTATTCCTGTCCTGCCCCTAGGTTCTTCAGAACCTTTTTTTTTCTTTTTCTAGATTCTGTCTATATGTGTTAACATACAGTATTTGTTTTTCTTTTTCTGACTTACTTCACTCTGTATGACAGTCTCTAGGTCCCACCACATCACTACAAATAACTCAATTTCGTTTCTCTTTATGGCTAAGTAATATTCCATTGTATATATGTGCCACATCTTCTTTATCCATTCATCTGTCAATGGACACTTTTAGGTTG